AGTCATATGATCACAACTTAGGTGCCTTGCAACCAGCTCTTATTTTCTACACTTGCAGCGTCTTACAGTTACGTGAATGGGATTTGTTCTCAGTCAGTTCCAACAAGTCTATTCAATTGGGGAAGCTGAATTTGCTTAAGGACCACATGGTTCATATGTGATTTGCTTGGTAAGAAATAGTAATAAAGTCAAGTCTGATCACATGATGATGATTCATTTTATGACCACATCGACTAATGACAGAAATTCTAGTCCCAATTGTGGTTGTAAGTCCCTACCTCCAGAAAACGGGGGGGGGGGGAACCATCTTCCAAACCAAATAGGCAGCATTTTGCTAGCAATAGGATAAAATGAAATGGTGAAAACTATATTTTTTGTATAGATTGGATTTTATTTTTCTGCTGTGGATCAAAGGCTTTCCTTTGACCCACAGGCTTGAATATTAAGCAAGCTGAGCTCGTGAATATAATTAATCCTTGTGCAGATGGATTCCCTTGGCCTTATCTAATTGTCTGAGATTAACCACCTTGACATAGTTTATGATGAAAACTCTGTCCCTCCAGAGACAGATGTGTTTCCGCTGCACCAGCCTGATTTTTTTTTTTTGAACAGTTGGTATCTTGCTTAAGCTAACAACTAAGAAAAACATTATCCAAGCTTCTGAATAAAAATAACAGTTGAATTCTTTGATAAACAATCGGAGTGCTACTACACATATCATATCCAATTAAGAAGAAAGCTAGGCATTTCTTTGTTTAAAATATGTCTATCCAAATTAGAGATAGATAGATAGATAGATAGATAGAGAGAGAGAGAGAGAGAGAGAGAGAGAGAGAGAGAGAGAGAGAGAGAGAGAGAGACTGATCTTGAAATAATAATGCTAATCTAAGCCAAATTACACATCCAAAACATCAGCTCTATTAAGGTGCTAGATATTGATGGACAAGGACAAGATCCTTCTTTTTCTCTCTACTTAGTGTGAAACTGGTCTCAGTTGAAGAGCCCAAACAGAGGAACCTTTAAATTCAGGGCCATCCTGTAGGATGCATAGAAACCCAATTTAAAATGATGACAGATTCAATTAATAATCAAAGTTTACAAACATTCTATAATACAGTACAGCATGATGACTCCTGTAGAGTTTAGACAGATACAGTTTTACAACACTTTATCCCACTAGTTCAAAGTGGTTATCAACAACCCCAGTAAGGCAAAATAAAATGAATAAAATAAAGTAACCAGTTCAAGCACAGCAGTAATAATCAAAACACCACTCAAAAGGAATCGCTACAAAATCGAACAATGATACACTTCATTTATATTTGCAGACGGCTCCCCAGTGTTAGCATCAATGCCTCAGCTCCACCTCAGATCATCAGGCATTAGGTTCTCATAGGAGAGTAAACCCTACTGTAAACTGGGATCTATGTTGTGAGCTCCTCCTCCTGTCCCCCAGTCTGTGGAAAAATTGTCTTCCACAAAACCAGTCCCTGGTACCCAAAATATTAGGGACCAATACTCCAACAACACTCATCATTAAAATTAATCTTTAGCCCATAAGATGTCATTCTCTTTCTCGTCTGGTATCAGAGCCTTGGTAGTACAGGGGTTTAAGGCACCCTGTTATTAAGCTGGTTATTAAGACCAGCTGCCTGCAATTTGCAGGGTTCGAATCTCGCCAAGGCTCAAGGTTGACTCAGCCTGCCATCCTTTCTAAGGTAGGTGAAATGAGGACCCAGTTTGTGGGGGCAATAAGCTGACTTTGTATAAATATACAAAAGGATGAAGGCTATTGCTGAGCACATTGTAAGCCACCCTGAGTCTTCGGAGAAGGGCGGCATATAAATCAAATTAAAAAAAAAAAAAAGGATTAGTTACCATAAGGAAGACATTGGGAATCACATTTCCTGGTAGAGGGTCTTTAAACAGATGCAAAAGTTCTCTCAGATTATTTCATTTACTGCTATATATGCTATGTTAATGACCAAATTGCTAATAACCAAGTGCTATGGGCACTTATACTTATCCTCTAAACATTACCGATATTAATAATAATACGAAGGACATATCTCAGGGTAGGAATTTCAGACACATATTTAGGGCTACCCATTTTTATCAAATCTCCAAATTGAATATTCCCGCCATCTACTTGATATGGTACATTTCACATAAGCATTATTAGTCAGGGAAGCAACAGGGTATGGGGAGGAATAATTCTGATTTATCCGTGTTATTGCTTAAAATGTAATGATAACTCTAGTGTTTGCCAGTAAATTGTAATAAAATCTTGTGCTACTATAAGATTTCAAGATCAAGATCCTATAAAAGAGTTATTGATTAAATTAAATCGCTGCCATAAAGACTTAAGAGAATCAACCCTCACAACTTGCCATTGTGGTAATGGTCAATAATCTTAGCCTTTGGGGAACAGTTCCATTTTGGCATTACCTTAAATCCACTTTCCAAATGCCCATTTGTACAGTAATAGCTAAGCTAAAAATTAATTGATCAGTTGCATTTACTGTGTTTCTGTAGAGATTCCAGCTTTGTGTTGGTTTTACGCAGAAAAAACCTCTCCAAAGGCATTGAAAGGCTCTAGCGGTTAAAATAAAAAATAAAAACAATGAAGAGCAATGGGAGAAAAGTTTTGGCGCAAAGTTGTCCTGTCCTCCAAGTCACTGCATTGTGATGACACAGGACTGGAATCTTCAGGGGACTGATGATATCTCCCATTCACTGTTGTCATGATTTTCTGGGACTCAATTTCTCATCTCTAGTCAGTTATGACTCAAAGGTGTTATCTAAAAAAGGCAAAGCATTTTGAATGCTTTGGATGTACCCTTCCCCAATCTTTCTGATATCTTCCAGCCCACACCTTTTTCCCAGTGTCTACTTCACCATCCACCGACATCTTTTTGGTATGTTCTCACTGCCCCCATTCATCTCCTGATCTTCGATTCCTGATGAATCACCTTCCATCTTCAAAAAAACCTCAAAACTATAAGCTAAATAATAGCCACTGGCATGGCAATATTCATAGCTAAGCTGCTTTTTTTTAAATTAAACAACCACAAAGGCTGGATTCACACATAATGCCAGGCCATATATTGTGATGGGCTGTATGCTAAAATAAAGCCAGGTCATAACACACACTTGAAAGTAAATCAGGAAGCCTATAAATGGGGAGTGCGTCTAGCAAGAACAAAGAATGCTTATCTACAGGAAATATGCATGTGTAAATCTTGTAACAATTCTGGGTAGTTAGAAAGCTGATAAAAGTAACAAGAGTTAGACAAGTTGCAGGCCTCATCTAAAAATTAGGAATGGTGAAGGCCTGCAGCCAATAAAATGTGTATTAGGTAACTCCTGGGGCATTCATTAGCCAAGGCTTAGGAATAGGGACAGCTAGAGACCAATAGAACAAATTGTAGAATTATTACTAAAATGTTTATTAGATATTTCTCGGCTTGTCCCGCCTCCTCTTTTAGTGAAAATGTATAATTTGAGACTGCCTTCTACCGCATAGCTCCCAGAGACCGGTAAGATCCCACAGAGTTGGTCTCCTCCGTGTCCCGTCAGCTAAACAATGCCGGCTGGTGGGCCCGCGGGGGAGGGTCTATTCTGTGGCCGCCCCAGCTCTCTGGAATCAGTTACCTCCTGAGATCTGGACCATCCCTACCCTAATGGCCTTCCGAAAAGCGGTGAAGACCTGGCTTTTCCGGCAGGCCTGGGGCCGTTGATCTCGCTGTTGCGATCTGGCGAGATCCGGCCATGAATGGTGTGAATGGGTTTTAATTGTTTTTAATGTTTTAATGTTTAATGTTTTTATATGTTTTTTAAATGCATTGTAAGCCGCCTTGAGTCTTCAGAGAAAGGCGGCATACAAGTTGAACAAATAATAATAATAATAATAATAATAATAATAATAATAATAATAATAATAATAAGGGCTACCCCGCTATTTAGAAATTCTAAATTTGCCGGACTTGAACATTTTGACTCTACCAAAAACCACCTTACTCGGAACAGCTTACATCCTCCGATGATACCTTAACAGTTCCTAGGTCCTTGGTTAGGACTCGAGCTGTTGAGCTATTAACCAGCCTCAAAGGCTGTGAATCTCACTAAAGATTTAATAATAATAATAATAATAATAATAATAATAATAATAATAATGCAGCTTACTTAACCCTTTTTTCTTGGTTCTTGGCATTTTGGCCAGGAGCCCTTTTCCTTGGAGTACTCCAATAAAAAGCAAACAGAAAACCTGCACCTTGTGTCTGGCATCCATCATTGGCTTTAGCACCAGGCTCAGACCCGAATTGGGGACAACAATCATGTTCAGCCAAAAGTAAATTAACCATACTGGGTATTATTTAGGACAGAGGTGTCAAGCTCAATTTCATTGAGGACCACATCAGGGTTGTGTTTGACCTTGGGGATTGGTGTGGGCATGGCCAGGGTGCCCGTGGTCATCTCGATGTCACTCGTGTCAGAGCCCGAGAGCTCTGCCGGCGAAAATGGGCTCACAGGCTCCGTTTTCAGCTGCAATGGCTTCCTGCCACCCTCTGCCAGCAAAAGCAGAGCTCGGGGGGGGCACACATGGGGCCCCCAGCCCCGTTTTTGGTCAGAATGGCCTCCTACAGTCGTCTGCCAGTGAAAGTGGAGTTCGGGTTTGGGTGGCCATGCGTGGACCTCCCCCGCCCCCCAGGTTCCATTTTCAGCTGCAATGGCCTCTTGCCACCCACTGCCAGTGAAAGTGGAGCTGTGTGCAGGCCCCCCAGGCTTCGTTTTCAGCCGCAACGGCTTCCTGCAGCCCTCTGTCAGCAAAAACAGAGCTCGGGGGGGGGGGGGGGGTCCTGCTCCATTTTCACTGGAAGAAAAACTTTCTGACCTGAATTTCAGATCTACTACAAATTCAACAGACTGACATGGGACAAGAAGTCGTCAAATTTCAAAACCAAGTGAGTTTATTTATTTTTTTTAATCAGACAACTCACGGGGATCCACGTATGCCCAAGTGGGATGGAGAGGGACATTCAGCGGGGGAGAAAAGGCCCCTGCTTTCATCCCTTCTGCTGAGGTTGCCTCTTCATAGGTTGGTGGTACTGCTGGGGCACTAGGTTGCTTTCGTTCAGCATTTCCCTGCTGCCCTTCAGAATTTGCAGGCTTGTTGTTCACAGAGAGCTGCAAAAGGGAAAGAAAAAAAAAGATTAATTTAAAAAAAAAAAGAATGACCATTTTTGGTCCATAAATTTTACATGGGGAGAGATGGAGAAGAGAATGAGAAGTAGATGAGGTCCAGGGTTTGAGGTACAGGTAGTCCTCGACTTACAACCACAATTGAGCCCAGAATTTAGATTAAAGAAGATTAAATTGAAATAATAACCCTGTTTCCATTGCTCAGATAATCTAGAATGACTGTCCCATTTTAATAATAATTTATTTATAAAGAAAACTTGACTTCCTTTCAAATAAATACCATATTTTTCAGACTATAAAATGCTCCGGACTATAAGATGCACCTAGCTTTTGGGGAGGGGGAAAAAAAAATCTGCCTCTGCCTCCCAGTAATTTTCCTCCTTGCAGCAAAGAGCAAACAGCCTGGTCAGCTTCAGCACAGCCTGGTTTAGCACAAGCAGCTGATTGGCAGTTGGATCGGCCTCCCAGAATACTGCCGATCCGCTGTTCCAGGCTGCAGGGATTGCTGCCTCCCATCGCTGTCATCACTGCCCATTGCCGCCGCCACCGCACACCCCATTTTTGGACTCTGCACATCCTGTTTTCAGCCTCCACACGTCCCGTTTTTGGCCTGTTCCAGGCACCACCTGCAACGGGCCAAAAATGGGATGTGCAGAGGCCAAAAAAAGGGTGTGTGGAGGCCAAAAACAGGGCATTCAGAGGCTGAAAACAGGATGCGTGGAGGATGAAAACGGGACATAGAGGCCAAAAATGGGACGCACGGAGGCCAAAAATGGGGCACATGGAGGCAGCGATAGGTGGCAGCAATCCCCGCAGCCTTGAACAATTGATCGGCGGTATTTTGGGAGGGTGCGGGCCCGCAGGTGAGCGGGGCTTCAGCAACATTTGCTCTATAAAATGCACAGACATTTCCACCCACTTTTTTGGGGGGAGGAGTGTGTTTTATACACCAAAAAATATGCATTATTTCACCTACTGCTGATGACATATCACCATGAACAGCTACTGACTGAAACCAAACATAGATATTTAGCTTCCTTCTCACTGCTACCCTGTACTTCATGGAAACAAAACTTTTCATAAGGTTGCTTGTCAATTATTTCAAGAGCCTTTCTGTTAGCCAATAGCAGCTGAATGAAGGCACATGAATCATGAAACTTGCAATTTATTTATTTTATCCATTAGATATAATTAATGTCTTTCTTCAAGGAGCTCCTGAAGCTTTTATTAATGGAAGGCAGAATCTGGTAGATGTGAGTCTCCAAATAATGCCCCAAGTATCAAAGTATCCATGGGTACTTCTTTTAATCTAAAATTATATTGAAATATACCACATATATTCATGGATAAGCCCATTTCTAGATAAGACATCTCTGGATTTTTTAACCAAAATACCATTTGAAACACACCAGTCATAAATACGTAAACTGACTCTCAAAAATTTTATATTTTAATTTTCACAATTGGCTTATCTTTCAGGGACGATGAATCTGCCATGCTTCAAAGAAAATTGTCAGCCTCCAAGATCGTCTTAATTTCTGGCCCCCTCCAACCCACCGACCCCAAACCTACCTCTCAATCATAGACACTATTTTAGGAAACAAAATGATGGGAAACACCAGTCCAGGGCTTTCTTTGGAAAAAAATGTCTTCTGGCCAAGAAAATAACAAAAGTAGTAGTGTGGAAGATTATGCAAAGGTAATTGGGATAGGGAAGCAGTCTGCAACCTTAAATACTCAAAGAGCCATTTGGCCCCTTTTCCCAGAGAAAAGAAAAAACTGGAAGCCACAAAACCTGGGTGGGCGTGGCCAACTCGATGTCACTCACTTCCACCAGTCACATGACCCCTCCTAGCCACACCTACCCAGCCGGTCATTAGGGCAGAGAACCAGTTGTTAAAAAACACTGGGAACTACAAAATCCTTTTGACACATCTCTCTCTCCCCTCCCTCCCTCCCTCTTTCCCCCTCTCTCTGTCTCTCTCTGTCTCTGCCCTGGCTGCTTCTCCAACCCCCGCCATCGCCTTTACCTTCTCACGCCAGGCGAGGAGTGACTGGAAGGGGAGGGCGAGGTGCGGGGCCAGCCAGTGGTGGGATCACCTGACAGGGAGCCACAGAAGAGGGCCCAAAGAACCGCATGCGGCTCCGGAGCCACAGGTTGCTGACCCCTGGGATAGGGGGTTACAGCGGGTATCTGATATTCTAGAAAATGGCAGCTTTGCAAGTGTATATATCTCCAAAGGCAGCTATTTTGTGACTAAATAAGCTTCCTAAGCATCTAATCTCCTATTAACGTCAGAATAATACTGCTGCTGACATTTTTCATTTAATTTGTGAAAGTGCTCATATTTAAATTTCCTAGATTGCTCTTAGTATTCTATGAGAGACTTAAAAAAGCTGAACAGATTGGATAAAATCCAATTTTCTGTTGCCATAGTCATAAGAGTATTTTCCTCTATTCCTCCTTTTGGAAAGCCAACAGAAACCAAGAGAATGTCAGAATGTGTCTTAGAGTTTGGCCCCAGAAGAGAAAACAATAGCTCTCTGCATGTAATTGAACAATTCCCAGTTTAGCTAAGGATGTTGGGAGTTACAGCTGAACAAAACCTAGTGGGAAGCACACAAATTACCCAATTCTTCAAAAAAGATCCTTGGATAGAAAAGCCACATTCCCATATATTTCTCAAAATATTTCTCAAAATATAGACAGTACTCCTTGACATCTCCACTTTAAATAACTGATTCAAATTAGAAATCCTGTTAACCTCAATAAGACTTCAATCCTAGTCTGCCTAAAGTTGTAAACTTGTCATTCAGTTTGGGTTAAGTAATTACTGTCCATCACCTAGCAGCCGCATAAAGACAGACGAAATAAAACGAAAGCTCTTTCGATTGAATAAAGCCTTCCTGTAGCCACTTGCAGCTGTGAAATAACAAATTCTATACAGATTATGATAATTGAACACATTTTAGCTGCACAAACTGAGGCAATCAGTAAATATTCAGAATCAGAAACACAACAAGAGGATAACCCAGAACTGCGTCACTGGGGTGCTGCTGAGACAGGGATGACCTAATCCAAAGGAACAAGCTCTTGAACACACACACACATATGCACACATACCCTGGTGCTCACCAGGATTACAATAATCAGCAGACCCTTCCAGGATTATAGTTCCATAACATCTGGAGGGTATCAGATGGCTAAAAGGAGACTTCGAAGATGGGAATTGGGAATTGGGGAGAATAGTGAATAGGGATTGTTGCAAAAAAAAAAAACCTCTCCAGCCAAAATGACCTGCTGTTCTTTGGTGAACAGATTCTATCATTTCATATTTTGTCCTAAATGTCACTGGGTAGCCAGAGGAATGTAATTTGAATTCAAAATTTCAGCATCCTCCAGCTACATTCTGGTGCCCAAGCCAAAGTTACATAATTCCTCTTCTGCTAAGTAATTTTACTGAATTGTTGATTTCATAATTTGAATTATTTATTTTTAAAAGAAGAAAATGATATATTAAGTGGAACATCTGCAAAGCAGTATATAGCTAACCCGAGGATTGAAAACAAGAAAGAAAGAAAGAAAGAAAGAAAGAAAGAAAGAAAGAAAGAAAGAAAGAAAGAAAGAAAGAAAGAAAGAAAGAAAGAAAGAAAGAAAGAAAGAAAACACAGAATTCAGCATAACAGTCCAAAAATAGATGTTTGCTGCTGAATCCATGATTTGCAGCTCTCTGAATGAAGATGTATGTCTCTTCCTGAATTACAGGTTCTAAATTTAGGATCTGATGCCTGGTCCTTGTGACATTCCAAGTGACAAAGTTGAGAATTCAGGTAACGGATCATATATAACTTGCAACCAACAGGATTTAGAGCATTATAAAATACACCATTCACACTATAATTTGCCATCCAGGATGGCAACCTGAAACCTATCAAGGGGTGAAACTCAACAGACATTCAATTAGATGCTCTTGCTAAGTTGCCACGGCAACAGATTTCTTAGTACTGGGGGAGAACCAAAGCAAGCATGGAGAAATTGCATCTCTTATGGATTCAGAAGGCCCTCCCTCCTCTCCTTTCCCTGCTTGGGGAAGTAAAAATGCTTTATAAAGTTTGTGAGTCATCTAGATTAAGGTAATTTTTCTAGGGCTGTTAAGAAACTTAATCTTGGTGGAAGCGTAGGGAGGCAGGGCGATCAGCTCTATATTAATTGAATAATAAAAATCTCTCTTCCATCTGTATACACTGAGCATCCAGAGAAAGCAGATAGCTTACAAGCCCTTGAGATAAAGAGGGTGATGGGAAATTGATAAATCGAATATAGAGGTCATTCAGCCACATGAATTAAGGTGCAGAGTCCTGCTCCAGCTTGAACCTACCTTCCCCTGCGTCATCTTTTCCTCTTAAGTGACGCTCCTCACTCGGATAATTCCCCTTCAGAGAGGAAGGATGGAGGCGAGCAGATTCAGTCTCCTCTTTTAGCAGCCAGCTGGGCTAGGATTACCTCTCTCGGGTGGGCACCACTTCTGCCTCTGCCGCAGCCTGCAATAATGCTCCTACGTTCCAGCAACATCTAGAGCATATCTCTCCGCTGATGGAGCTGGGGCGATACCATTGCCCAGCTTTTGAACAGGGGTGGGGGGTGATGCTGAGGAGAGCAGGCTCAGTCAAGGAAGAAATAGAGAGGAAAGAAAGTGGCTATTATTATTATTATTTTTTTTTAAAGGCTTTTTCTGGGCCTGATTTTGCAGAATCGCAGTGCGAAGATAGAACCCGGTGGATGCCAGGATGCAGGAGAAGGTCGAGGTCCAGCATTTTGCAGTGGGAACAGGAGGGGAGGAGGCGGTGATGCAGGGAGAGAGATGAAATGAGATGCGCTTAGAGGCACCCGCTTTCCTGTGTTACTAACAGCAGCCTAGGGAGCAATTGGCAGCACAGCCCCAGGGACTATTAGATTTCTCTGGCACCTGAAAAGCTTTGCTCATCAGAGACAGGGAGAAATCCCTGTTGCTCTGCCTAGTTCAGTAAATATCTCCCCCTTTCTCTTTCTCTTTCTCTCTCACAGACCAACTGATTCCTTTGGAGTCCTTTTTGAAATGTTACAGCCATATTCAACTCCTTTTATTTGTAAAATCATAGGTCAACCGCTTTGTGGCCTAGACGCATCAGCGACTCCTTTCAGGCAACCCTCACTGTGCTTTGTTGTCAATAAAGCACATTGCTATATAGGAAGTTAGCACTCACCCCTCTCCAAAAAAAATGAAATATTTTAGGAAATATTAAAAGGGCAGAATATTTCCCCTAAAAGGAAGGCAGAAACTCAGCCTCCTCCCCACCTTTATCAATGGACCATTAAGGCCTGGGCCAGTCTATTCTATATAACAAAGATCTACCTCCTTCAAGCAGAGCCATAATAGGAATTACCCAAAGCCCTTTCATACATCATCACCCAGCAAGTCTCAACCAAGCTTGAGACTCAGGACAGCCTACAAAGTTGCTCCTGCATGGCCCCATGGGAGTCTGACAACCAATCAGAATACAAGCTCAAATTCAAAAGCCCAGAGAGGGTATAAAACTCAGGCACTCTCAGCATCTCTTCCCTTTTTTTTCTTCACCCAACATCATCAAGGCATGTGATCCTGTCCACCATTAAAACCATCTTTCCAAGCAGCCACCATGTTTCCAGTGTCCTTTTCCCTACTTGGAACTGAACCCAGAAGGATATTTCTTCCAACAGCTTATTTTATTTATACAATTTTTTTAACAGTTTATTTATGCATTTTCACATTACATGCATACATACATGCTTAGTGAACAGCATATTGTCTGGATCATTTTGCTTCTACGATAATACTTTTCCCGCTCCTCATTTCTACCTCTATTATCCAACCATTTGTAAAACAAATCCCATGTTTGAAAATCCTCTATCATCTTTTCCTTTCATCCTTAATGTTAATCTGTCCATTTCTGCACAATCTATTTTTTTTTTAATTACACCTTCTGCTGTAGGTTTTTCCTCATTTTTCCAGTGGTGTGCAAATACAATTCTTGCTGCAGTCAATACATGTAATATTAGATATATATTCTCTTTGCAATATTTTTCTGGTACTATGCCCAACAAAAATATTTCTGATGTAGAAAGTTAGCACCCACCCCTCCTAGAAGAATGAAATATTTTAGGAAATATTAAAAAGGCAGAATAGTATATTTCGCTAGATGAGAAATTGAGAAACATGGTCTTGGAGACAGAAACTCAGAACCTCAGCTCCCTTGCCCCCCCACCACCACCACCACCAGATACTGAGCTGTGGCAGCTTTAGAAATGCAGATTTGGTAATCCATTACTGCCTGCAGCAATGTCTGGCTCTGAACAATGGCAGGACAAAGCCATTCAACCACAATAGGAATTGCCCTTCATTGCATTACCCAGCAAGCTTCAACCAAGCCTGGGACTCAGACAGCCTACAAAGTTAGCTGTGACCCCTATAGCAACCAATAGAATACATGTTCTTGCCACAGGAACAGGAAGCTCAAGGGCAAGAGAGAGGGTTATAAATAACCCTCTCTCTCCACTCCATGTGGTCAGCTGCCCAGGACCTCAAACCCATGGTGGTCCTGTTCACCAATAAACCATCTTTCCAACCAGCCTCCATGTTTCCAGTGTCTTTTTTCCCCACTTGGAACTGAACCAGATGGATATTTCTTCCAACACTGGTTTATAATCTAGGTGCTGCTTTAACATTTTTTCTAACCATGTATGTATTTTTGTCCAATATTTCTTTGCCTTTGCACAAATCCACCACATATGATAATAGGTACCCGGTGTCTGGTTACATTTTCAACATCTGATGGACAGACTTTTAAACATCTTTGCTAGTCTCTCCAGTGGTAAGCGCCACCTATAAAACATTTTATATAGATTTTCCTTATAAGCTATTGCCATTGTCAACTTACGGTTTCTTTACCACCGTTTTTGCCATTTGTTATTTATACAATTTTAATGGCTGGCCATCTCGGGTGATTCGGGTGGTGTGCAAGGGTTAGAAACACAAAACCACGACAAATAACCCCCTGGTCTCCATGGATAAGCAATAACCCCACTCACTAAAAAAAATAAAAAATCCAAAGCAAAAAAAACGCCACACCATACTTCCTCAACAACCGCAGAGCTCATCTAGCCTGCTGACCCAAACCTCTATGGAGACAGCCAAGTCTTTGATGCCTCTGAATCTCCAGGATGATGCTGTTCCATAGAACAGATACTGTACTGCGACTGAGAAGGTGCAACTCCAAGGTGCAAAAAGATGACACTATGTGTTAGAAGGAGCATGTCCTGTCTGCTAGATCTGGCGGACCAAGCTAAAACGACAGGAGAAAGGCAGTACTGCAAAATAGCTTGGCCATCACTGTGTAGGTTTTGTTATGCTTGATCTTTCACTGTGAGCCATCACCATCCAGTGATCTACCATCCAACAAGAAAAAGATCAGCATGCCTCTCCCCTTTCAAGGTCTGTCCTTATTCTTGAGTGTTTGTTAACCAAATCATTGGGATTATTTGAATTCTATACAGGTAGTCCTCAACCTACGACCACAATTGAGCCCCAAATGTATGTTGTTAAGCAAGAAATTTGTTAAATGGGTTTTGCCCCGTTTTACGAACTTTCTTGCCACGGCTGTTAAGTGAATCACTGCGGTTGTTAAATTAGTAATATGGTTGTTAAGTGAATCTGTTTTCCCCAATGACTTTGCTTGTTAGAAGGTCGCAAAAGGGAATCAAATGACTCCGTGACACTGCAATCGTCATAAATATGAGCCAGTTGCCAAGCATCCAAATTTTATTCATGTGACCATGGGGATGCTACAATAGTCGTAAGTATGAGAACTGGTCATAAGTCACTTTTTTCAGTGCCGTTGTAACTTTGCATGGTCACTAAATGAACTGATGTATACTAGTCTCTTCCAACAGGATACCCACCAGATGTGATGTGTTTCAGTTCTCATAAACGTTGGCAAGCTTTGCTGTTCTATCTCAGGCAACACACTGTTAGACAATTTCTCCTTCTCCAGGTTTATGTAACAAAGCGTTTTGTTATAGTAATGGGTTCCACTTACCTTCGCTGCCAGTTTGGAACTGTGAGCGTGCAGGCGCATTGAATTTTAATGTCATTCAAACAACAGCAGCACAAACAATATAATAGAACTGTTGGAAGAAATGTCCATTTGGGTTCAGTTCCAAGTGGGGAGAAAGACACTGGAAACATGGAGACTGCTTGAATAGATGGTTTAATGGTGGACAGGACCACATGGTTTTGAGGACCTGGGCAAAAAAAGAGCACACGGGTGAGAAAGAGAGATAGATTTATACCCCCCTGTTGGGCTTTGAATTTGAGCTTGTATTCTGATTGGGTGTCAGATTCCCATGGGGCCATGCAGGGGTAACTTTGTAGGTTGTCTTTTGAGTCCCAGGCTTGGTTGAGCCTTGCTGGGTGATGCAATCTCCCCAGGTGCCATGTGGTGAGTTCTGTTGCTAGATGGGTAGAGGGTTAATCCTATCTTTGTTGGATCGTGAGCGAGGGCATTTGCTTATGAATAGACCTAGCTATCTCTTTATCTCTTACGTGCTGACATCTGCTGAGGGCTATTGAGAGTGTGGGAGCTATTAAGAGTGAGTCTGCTTCGTGCCTAAAAAAACATGTTTCTCAATTTCTCAGGGAAATTGAGGTATAATATTCTGCCTTTTTAATATTTTCTAGAATATTTCATTTTTCTAGGAAAGGAGTGGATGCTAACTTCCTACAGAACAACATGAATACAAACTGACATAAGAAGAGAATCTAAAGGGTGACATAAATCACTTTGCAAGCATTCAAATTTTTCACATTCATCAGATAACAAAGCAAACAAATTAATGAGGCAGAGATACAAACCACTGAGGCCAAAGACAATGGAATTTTAGTCTTAAAATGGAATGCAGAAGAAAGTGCCAGATGGTGCATCTTTTTTTGGGGGGGTAGTGTGATGATTAACCAGTGTGTAAGTCTTGGGGGATCAAACAAACAAACAATGGATATTTGCCATTTTTTGAAATTTTAACATCAGGCTGTTATTCAGAGGCACTGCAAGATTGTCACCAATATTGCAATTAAATTAATTGTGTAATCCTGGCTGATATCAAGCTGATATCTGTAATCAACTAGATTACATAAAGTGGTATCTTCATCCACACAAGGCTATTCTCTTGCAATGGGGTCTATCCAGGAAGGGCTGGGCTTCAAAAATTTTAGCAAGGAGTTCTCTGCCCGGTTGCTGGGTGAGCGTGGCCATGGTGGGCGTGGCCTAGTCAGCCTCCTGCACCACAGCGGGGGGAGAGGCGTTTTTACCTCCCCATGATTTCCTCGAGCCTCTGGGAGGGCAAAAACAGTCTCCCCAACCTCCAGAGGCCCTCTGGAGGCTAGAAATGGGATGGTTTCCGGCCTTCCCAAACTTCCGGTAGGCCCGTTTTTCACCCTCCCCAAACCTCCGGGTGTGCCCTGCACTTACCTGCATCCAAAATGGGCCGCATGGGGATTGCTGAGAGGGGAGGGGCAGGGTGGGCGGGTCCAGCCAGGAGATTTGGGGGTTCTCTAAACTGCACAGAATCTTAGCTAGAGGTTCTCCCGAACCCCTGCGAACCCCCAGCAGCCCACCCCGTATCCAGGGCTTCCTTTGAAAAATACTCATAAACTGCAATTGGTACAAAATACAGTTCTACCCTCACCCACTCCTATTGCTAGGTAATAGCCATTACTGCTATGTGACACCTAAAGCATTGGATTCCCTTAGATTTCTGGGTGTCATTCAAAGTGTTCTGTGAATAGAGCATTCAAATGCTCCAACACTGGAAGTTTTT